GATATTTAATAAATTGAAAATTTCTAAATGGATGATTAAATAAAAGGATGATTCCTTTCATCCTACTAGCGGCAAGATATTTATTATTGAAGAGTCGAATAGCAAAAGCTATCTTGTCTATCTATAGGTCACAAATTTTCAATTCAGAATCCTCATTTGTAGTATTTATGGAAGAAGACAAGATGATCGTGAAATTAAAAGTAGCTAAGGATAGTTGTCATTTCTACTTCACTCCTTTATTTTTATTTTTCTTTTCTTCACTATTTTTCATCTTCCACATGTTGTTCCTTTTCATCAACTCGCTTTCGATGTTTGCAAAAGTGTCATTTGATTTAAAAAAAAAACCTTAATATGTCGCATAATTAATATTACTATGATGACATCATTTGTTTTATTTTATTCAAATTAAAATTTCTTCGAAGCATGTTTTAAATCTCATTTTATTTTATAATGCGAAAAAAAAATGTTTGAAATTTGTTGACAATGATAGATTATTAGAGTGTGAGGTAAATTATGAGTAATATTTACGGAAGATTGAATATGCCGGAAACAATTTCCTCTCGGAAAACAGTATTATTTAAGTCTTCTAAAATTAATTTTAATCTCAGAATAAGGGATTTGCAATAATTGTTACAATAACGAAATAAGGTTAAATAAAGGTCATAATTTTTGAGCTTAGTTCTTATATTACTTTATTTATTAATTAAATTTAGCAAAAATAATTTAGAAAGGATATATGGAAAACAAAAGATGTAATCAGTTTTTGTAACGTATTTAAACGATGACAAGCACAAATGAAATAAACGAATTAAGTGATAAGCATAATAAATGACTACTGCAATTGATAGAAAAACAAAAAAAAATTTTTAGAAGGTTTAAATTAATTTGATTTCAAATAATTTGAATTAATTAAGGATGTATTTTAAATTAATGCTGCTAATTTAGAGATGGCTGAACTAAGCATTGATGAAATCCAGATAGTTGTCCATCTGAATGGCAATGGTCAATTGATCGTTCACCAACTTGCAATTACATAAATGATTCAATGATATATTGTATATATGATAATTGAGCATGGACTAAAAAGTTGGGTCAAGGTTGAAAAAAAAGAAAAGAAAGAAGAAAAAAAAACTTGAAAAGAAGCAAAAGGAGCAAACATTTTTTTTTCTTAAGAAATAGAAAAGTATATAGAAACAGGTAGAAATAATGAAGGGAAACAGGCAAATAGTACGGAAATCATTTTTTGTTCAATGAAAGAAATGACAGAAAAGATTGGCTGAATGAAATAAACATAATAACCTTGACGATTGAATCAAAATAGTAGTACCTCACTCAGTGATGGTGACAAATGATAGTCATTTTAGGTCTCTTTTCATCACTGCATAATGGATATGTTCTAATTTTTTTTTCTTAAGTTTCAATTGATTTGAAACGGTGTCATTTAGGATATTACCTGATTGAAAGTAGCATAAGTAGTCAAATTACTTCATTTTTCAATTCTACTCTTCATAGATGTTGTCAAATTGCTTCATTTTTAATTGAACTCTTAATTAAGCTCTCTAATGGATTTTCACAAAATAAAATACGACCCAACATTGTACATGTAACTTATATGATTGTTATACTAAAATTTATTTTATTTATAAAAAGACTAAAAGTCATTTTAATTAAATTTTGTCAACATAAATTCGTTTAATTTTAAATGAACATATTGTATTATATTTTAATCCTGAAATTTGCTCCCTAAATTTGTCCTATATTTTTATCCAAATTTCAAATTAATTTTTTGAATTTCAACTTCTCATTTTACATTAATTCCAAATTATAGCCTATTTTACGATGTGGAATAAATTAATTATGCAATATAGTATAAAATAAAAAATATTTAAATTTTGAATTCAAAACTTGTACTTATAGATAATGAATTCATTGGTAGATTTTAAATTTTCCACAAAAATCAACATTCATTAACGATACATCAATAGCCATTTATGGGTGGAGAAAAAAAATTCTTGTAGATTTGTAAAATTATTTCTCTCAAATGAAAACTAACAAAAACTCAAATGTGAAAAAGGAGAAAAGGATAATTTAAAAATTTTAATAAAATAAATGAATGATATTTGAACACGCTGTTATCTAATAAAATATTCCAATATCCATTATCTATCGGTTCTTTTTCTTTTCTTTTCTTTTTTCTCATACCTATTGCGCTTTTTTTTTTTTTTCATTTTAATGTAATAGTTTGTGGAAAATTAAATTTTTCTCAATGCGTTTTTCAACAAATAAATTGCTTTTTGTTTGTTATAAATAATACCAAATATACATTTTAATAAAATTAAATTAATTCCTCTCGTCTTTTTTTTTTTTTCGCTATCCATTATACATTTTTGGTATTACTATTTCATTCATAAAATCAAAATGATCGAATGATTTTAATTATCAAATCGAATGATTTTAATTACCCTCTATAGTCCTGTATGGCAAAGATTATAAATTTTTTATTGGATTTATTTATTCTAATTACAATAAGCTTATTATCTAATTATTAATATTGACTATTATCATGCAGTTATTTGATTATTATCTAAGTGATGTTTAGAAAATTTGTAAGAAATTTTTACTTTAGAAATTTATTTAATTTGAATTTTATGGGAATTTTGTAAAGTATGTGAGAAGAAAATTATAAATATTTTGTTTGGCAAAACAGTAAGCTTTCCTGGTTTTATTAGTTTACAATAAATTTTCATGTGTGATTTTAAAAAACATTCTAAATATCTAGAATAGTAAGCTATCAAGTCCTAAACGTTTTCCACCAATTCTACGGTTTTGAATTTCCGTTTATTCCAACATTCTTCTTTTCGTTACAAAAATCAACTTGCAAACTCGATTGTGCTTTGAAGAGAGAGAGACAAAGAGAGAGAGAGAGGGAGAAAGAAAGAAAGAAAGAAGGAAACAAGGATTAATATATTCCGGAACTCCAGAAATTTTTGCTACACTGAGATGCCATTACCGAATGCCAAATGGTTATGATAAAAGAACGATAAAAGGATTGAAATAATCAGCGACTGATGCTAGGTAATGGATAGAATTAGATTTAGTGCAACTTTAGGAATCGGAAATCTACTAGAAAATCGATTCCTATCAATGACGAAGATATCGGTCAGTTATTGGTCACTAATAATCCAGTCAACATATCAAATCGATTGATAAAATAGTACTGATGAAATAAAATTGGAAATTTAAGTAATGAATATATAAATACTGCTAAATGGTATTCCATATAGTGGGTAATAGTAGTTTTTTTCCCATTTATTTGATTATAAATTCAGATCTTTTTCCTTTTGAAATTTATTAAAATATTTTCTGTTTGCATTCATTTGCTTATTAATTCCAAAATTTTATGCATTTCATAATTGTATTATTTAATAAACATTTGATCGTTTTTTTTTTTGCAATAATAGTTGAAATGTGAGAATTTTTCACAAATTTATAAATATATATTATTAGTTTTCTTTCTTTCATACAAATTCAAAACTTTTAATGGAAAAAGAACTGAGAATTAAAATGTGACTAAAAATTATGGACCTCAAAATGGCCTTCTGTTTTGTATGGCAATGGCAATGTATTGATTGTATTGTTTAGTGATTTCGATTTAAATTTCATATTTTAATTCCAGTATTATAAATTCTTTTGCGGTAAATTGTTTCCATGAATTTTTGGATTAATTCTAGCAAAATTAAGTTAATACTTACAATGTGTAGTAAGTGGAATGTTGTTTGATAATGATTTTAAATGGAAATTTTGATTTTCTAAAAATTTCAACTTTTTTCCCAACCTTTACAAATTCAAAACAAAGTTATTTTTAATAATTCTTTTTAATGACCTTAAAAGAAATCCTAATTCACTTACAATAAAGTTTTCACCAAAGCAATTAAAATTGAATAATTAATTGAGAAGGAAAGGCGGTTTTTATGCATGTGGTTAAGAAAGGCATTTTTAAATTTAAATTGAATTAAATGCTAAAATGTTTGCAGTCGAATTGAAATATCTTATATTAAAAATTGAAAATTAAGTTGTAAAGAAAAAAATGCTTAAGAATCAATAAATCTGAAATTAAAGAACACACTCGATAATTTCCTCATCATCAAGCATTTATTTATTTAGCAATTAAATTATTAGCTTAATATTTCGCTCACCATTCATGCAAAATTTCAACGATCTAATTATTAAACATTTTGAAGCAAAATATCTAAAATTTCAATTTCAATATGAAATCTATGATAAGGATTTGAAATTATTTTATTGTTTTGATAGTTTAGACTAATTGTTTTAATGACCCTTAATTAAATGGCAAAAAACATGTACAATTTATTTAAGTAAAATGAAAGCGCTCCGAAATTTCAACTTTAGCATTCGCATTTGCATCCATATTTTCTAAAATATTGAAAAAAAAAATCAAATAGTTATACTAATTATTCCGGAGCTATGAGTTAGACCTGATTGTATACAGTTAGATTTGATATTCCGTCGAGATTATAATTCAAATCGGTCATCATGAAAGAACAAAGCATATATTCGAAATCTTGCAATCTTCAAGGCTAAAATTGAAAGTATTTTTTTAGATGAATCTAAAAAAAATGGTACATTTTATTTCGAAAATTTGATTTAATTCTAAAAACAATTGGGAAAAAATTAAGGAATCGTTTAATTTTCAATACTTTTTTTCTCATTTGATCACATTCTTTCATATGTTTTCCTCTTTTTTTTTTTGAATAATTTTTCAAATAAACATTGACTATATGCAAATTCAAAAATCTATGCTTAAATATTCAATGATCATACATTATTTTGCTTGGTCTGAAATTAAGTCCTAAAATTATTAATTATATCATATCTTAAATTTCATCCTATAACAAAAAAATTTGATTCGATCTAAATGAATTAAATAAACAATAAGTATCATTGTATTATACAAAGATCATATGACCTTTTTTTTTTTTTAAACAGCAATGGTACAAATAAATATAAAAGGGTCGATTTTCAAGAAAAATTTTATTATAGAAAGATGGGAGATAATAACAACTTCTATTATAATAAATATTTGACCTTAACTATAAGTGGTATATTCTTTACCTCTCTTCATTTCTCTTTATACATTTTGAATAAATTTGCTCACTTGCAAGTACTCTAAAATTGTCATCCTATCATTTTCCATTTCCCTATGATAGGAATATTAACTTTTCATTAGTTACACTTCTTCTTTTTTTTTCTTTCTTTAGCATATTTCATGTATAAAATTTAGAAATTTGTTAAATACTTCATTAAAAACTTGAAAAGATAAAATACTTTTTCTTTTCGATCAATTTCTTATATCATTCAAATGGAAATTTGTAAAATAACTTTATATTATAAATGATATTTGTTAATGGTACCAAATTTCATTCCATTTCAATCAAAGCTATCACTAAGAATTTATAAAAGGATGACAAAATGACCTCATATTGGTCTTTTTTTTCACTAATTTTTATTTCTAACTTTTTTTCTAGTATTTCAGATAGAATTTCTGTGCATACTTATTTACATACTTTACGCTTTTCCTTTCTCTTAAGTTAATTTTTTAAATTTTTCAAATTGATTTTTTTTTCAAGTCACTTTACGAATTACAAATGGAAAATTGAGCAAAGTCTACTTTTGTAATGATTCTGATTAAATGAAATAGATTTTGTAAAAAGAGAAGGGACAGTAAGAGTTTGTATTTTATAAAGTACCACTAATTCGAGAAAATATTTATGGATACCCCCTTGTCGTGAGGGAAAAGCTTGCCTCTCTAAGGAGGTTACGAGTTATACCGATGAGTTATGCCGATCGCTTCCAAGCTCAGGATATGCCCTCGGTAAGGTCTCCCATGCGAGACAAGTCTCAACTGAATAGTCAGACAAAGTGTGTTCATGGATGGGATGGACTCGTTAGCTCACGGGTAACTATCCCCGGAGAAAAACAACTTTAATCTCAAACCCGGGCAGATGAAGTTCGCTTAACCCTGTAAGGCCATCCATCTCAGAGAAGGATACTTTAACTAAATATACGTTCTAAGCACTTTGCTGTCACTTCCAAGCTCGTTAGATCATCGCAAATGAACTTTAGGATTGGAAGGTGAGCCAGTTCCGAGCACACTGTGTCTCATCCAAAAAATCCACTGCGCAGGCTCGAAGGATATACTCAATTTTCATAGTCTTTAGTGACAAGGAGAGACGAAACGGTAGGTGATAGAATAAACTGAAAGTCGCAGACCCAACCTTACATGCAGGTGGTTCAGGACAATGGTCGTTCAAAATTGACCCTGGAGATGATAGTCTTGTTTGGCAACATCCTGAATGATCAAGCAGCCTTTTTGTTTGCTTCACATGTAGAAAGGCCTAGAAAAGGTGGACAACCGAAGCTCATTTCAGTCTCCGCTTGGTTGGCTAACCGAGCTCAACGGTCGTCTTCTGATGAGATCGAACAAAGGCAAAAAAGCAAAGGTACACACTTTGAACAAAATAAAGTGCTCAGGTTTACACTCGCATGCTGGAACATCAGAACCATGCTTGATACTGAGGATAGTGGGCGTCCCGAATGTCATCTGGAACGTTCGTTCTGTTCTAATTGTCCACGAACTATCACCATTCAAGACTGACATTGCTGATAGTGGGCGTCCCAAATGTCATCTGGAACGTTCGTTCTGTTCTAATTGTCCATGAACTATCACCATTCAAGACTGACATTGCTGTTCCCAGTAAAGTTTGTCACCATTAACGGAGCAGCCTCAAAAAACATGGTGCTTACTACAAGTCAAACCCAAGGAAGAAAGTCACCTTTTAGGTATTGGCTTCATCATTAAAAACGTCACTTCCAAACTTAAAAATTTGCTGACAGGTCATTTCGATCACATTGTCTAATTACGTCTTCCACTATACAACACGCAACTCTTCAGTTCTTCTCTTTAGCATTTGCATTCCAACTCTGCAAGCTGACCTTACTGTAAAAGACAAATTTTACATCGACTTACGCCATTTCATCCAAATGGTTCCGGATAATCAGGTCCTTGGTGACTTCAATGCTAAAGTTGTGGAGAAATTCCGAAGCCTAGAAAAGAATACTAGACAAGCATGGTATTGGAAACAATAAGGACAGCGGACAACTCCTGATAAAGTTTTGTGCAGAATACCAATTTACCATCACAAACACTATCTTTCAGCAGAGAGACAGTTTGAAGACAACCTGGATGCACTCTCAATCCATGTATTGGCATTTTAGATATTCAAAACAAGTGGTGGAGCGGGGATTTTATAAGGCTCTGGACCTACACACCACATTTAAAGCTCCCAACTTAGCAACTAATGGCTTAATGCTTTGCACTGATAAAACCTTCATCCTGAATCGATAGTCTGAATATTTTCAGACTCTCTCAAGTGTTAACCATATAGTTCAAAGTTCAGCAATTTAACACATTATACAATAATCGATGAAAGACGAATTGGATACAGCTTCTATTATCGGATAAACTCTTAAGGTCAAACAGCGGGTGAAAAAGAACAAAATAGCTGGGATTCATGGAATCCCAGCACTCTACACTAAATTTCATGGTATAGTTTGTGTTGTTGGGAAAAAAACAACTACCACCAAATCTCCGTGATACAGTACTCATCATCATCTGGCATAAATAAAAAAGGAGAAAAATCAGAGCACTCAAATTACCGAGGTATATTCTGCTTCTGATTTTGGTAAAATCCTTGCAAGAAAACTGATCTGAATAGATTAACTAATATAGCTTCAGAGCCAATATGAGTACCATAGAGGTGATATTTTTTCTCAGATTGCAAGAGAATCGTACAGAACAAAAAACTCTGTATGGCTTTCGTTAACCTTTTGATACTGTAAGCAGAAAAGGCTTTGGCAGATTTTGGAATGATTAGGATGTTCTCCCAAGTTCCCCATAATGATCTTACTATTAGTGAGAATCAATGTGGCCAAATCAACACTCTCTAAACTCTTTCCAATAACCAACAGTAAATTGTGGTTATATTCTCACCCCAATTCCATTCATAATCTATTTTAGTATGATACTCCAAATGATCACGGCAGACTTTCATCGATAAAAGAAATGACATTTAAATTCGATATCGTACCGATGGAAGCCTATTCAATCTAAGGCCCATACCAAGACCTTAAATTATCATGTCTGAGAGTTGCTTTTTTTCCGATCCTTGTTGTCCACACAGAAGCAACTATTAGCTTAAGAGTAATGAGCTTTTTGAGCTATAAGTTAGCTTGAAGAAAGCAGAAATTCTCTACCAATTTGTATCTCAGGAAATCTTCCACCATTCTCTTATCAACATAGGCAAATAAGAACTTAATTATCTATGAAAACAATCATCTAAAAAAAACCAGTAGTCTAAGAAACATCATTTCCTGGACAAAAAGGTAGATAAAAAGGTTAATAAAGGCTTTCGGAAAATTCCCCAAAAGAGTCTGTTACAATAAAAACCGGAAGAGAAGTACGAAGATTAGTAATTATAAAGGCTTGTATTGCCTACTCTTTTATATAGATCTGAATCATGGGTCATCTACCGTCACCACCTGTGTGACTCCTCAAACGTTTCCATTAACGCTTCCTCCGTACAATACGAAACATCCATTGGACTGATTACGTGACTGATGTGACTGTCCTTGAAAAGGTAGCAGTCACCAGTATTGAGGTCATGCTGCTGAGACCACAATTGCGTTGGGCAAGGCACGTCTTCAGGATGGCGAGTCCTGCGCCTTTCTAAGATTGTGTTCTATGATGAATTCACCACCGGCTACAGCAAAAGAAGAGCCTCAAAGAGGTGGTACAGGATTACCTAAAACAATACCTAAGCATTGGCCATATTGTCTACTACCAATAGTCCACTCTGTCCTCGAAAATCGGGAGATATGGAGACACACAATCCATAACGCTTCGAAAAGAGAGGAAGAACAAACCGCCTAAGGAGAATTTCCAATACAGCTTTTTTGCAACCGAACTTGCTTATCCTGAATCAGCCTTTTCACTTATCACCATCCTTATCCATGAAGTCTAATCATGATCCTGACAAATTTTGGAAATATAAATTTAGCGAATATGAATTTTTTGATACTTTTCTCTTTCATTCAGAAAAAAGATTGCAAAAGAATGAATTTTGCATAAAACAATTTGTTGCGCATTTTACTTATCTTTGTATTTCCTCATGTCCATTTGTTTAAATGCTCTTTTTGCTCTTTTCCTATTCTTGTCGTTGTTGCCGTTGTTGTTGTTGTTATTGTTGTTGCTCTGTTGTTGTTGCTGTTGTTGTTGTTTTTGCTGTGTTATTGTTGCTGTTATTGTTATTGTCGTTGTTGTTATTGTTGTTGCTGTGTTATTGTTGCTGTTATTATTATTGTCGTTGTTGTTATTGTTGTTGCTGTGTTATTGTTGCTGTTATTGTTATTGTCGTTATTGTTATTGTTGTTGCTGTATTATTGTTGTTGTTATTGTTGTTGTGTTATTATTGCTATTATTGTTGTTGTTGTTGCTGCTGTTATTGTTGTTGCTATGTTGTTGTTGTTGTTATTGTTGTTGCTGTGTTATTGTTGTT